ATAACATTCTAAATTTTTCTCTGACGAAATTGATTATTAAATAAGCTTTTTATGTAAAACGCTAATCACTTGGAAATAGACAGAAGAAATAATCCTTTGTATTCAGTGAGCAGTTTTGTGAATATTACATTAACCAAACATTTGAATTCACGAGTTAGTTGAAGCTAGACCATCACTGAAAACCTGGAAGCACCGGACGGACGTTTCGTCCTAGTATAGGAATCCTCAGAAGTCCGCATCCATGATCCTGTTCCGCGAGATCAGAACCCAAGACCTATCGGTCTCGCGCGTGAACGCCTAACATCCAGAATACTGAGCTGGCATCAAACGGTGTTAATGTCTAACTTCAAACAATCCACGAAATAGCGCCACCGTCCACCATAATATCCAAAAAACCTCCCTCTGGTAATAGTCACCATATGCTCACTAATGACCGTCTCCAAGAGGTATTTCCTGGAGTTCTAGTGAGAAGCAGTGACCAGTGGAGTTCAACCAGGCCTGTTGTAAGATAGTAACTCACTAAAGACAATGGTGGATGTGCCCCTCAATCTCGTCGATTAGTTGAAGTTAGACATTGACACCGTTGAATGCCGGCTCGGTGGTGTAGTGTTTAAATGGACTGATAGGTCCATCAGCAGTGGATGAGCACCGCTGAGGAGTCCCATACTAGGACGAAACAGCCGTCCAATGCTTCCAGGTTTTCCATGGTTGTCTACTTTATTTGACTGATTAATTCAACTATTAAATCCTTAGTATATCCCAATTGTATTATTTTGAAAATAAGTTCATTTAACCCAAGTTAGTATTTGAATAGATTAATGACTTGGATAAATTAATAAGATAATAAAGTTTATTTGAAAAGAATGAACCATACGGAACTCGAGCAGTTTAATATAGTAATTATTATCTTTATTATGCAATAGTGAAATTAAATATAACATGATAATAGAAAACACCACGTTTATTAGAGGAATAATTCACATGATCTCATGGCAATTATACTACTCAAAATGAATCAAGGATTACTGATGTATATTCAAAGTAAAAACTAATTATTTGAAAATACAGAAAGAAAATTGGATTGTTAGCACTTTTCATTGTTGTTATTTGAATGTCAACTCTATTTATACGTGACAGATTCCAAATGATTTGAAGCTATTTAATAAGGTAATTCAATCGCCCACAAATGTATAGCTCAGTTATTCATTCTTATTCATATACAAAAGTGTAAACATATTGTGAGGTGACTTAATAGATCGTGGAATGCTGATATCTGTGTGGAAGTACATACTTTTTTACCTAGTGAAAAATCAATCTGACTATATAAATCATTTTATTGTTGACTATTTTCCGCCCCCGCAACGAAATTTTATGATTCAACTTCCAGGTTATATAGAAAAGCGATATCATTTATATTGTCCAAAATAGACCAAAGAATGGATTTGGAGGTCAACTGATATTTGCACAGCTTTATATATATATTTCTGATGAATGGGATTCTTATAAGCCTTGTTTAAATCTCGGTGGATATAGGAATACGGGTAATTTATATGTCGGTCTATTCCTTTAGGTTCCACATTAAGATATTTAAACTTTAATCGGCCTTCATGTAAAAAATGATTGTCCTATCCTTTTTGTTCGATGTAGATAGAAGACAAATATAAAAACACAAATAAATAAATATATTATATTAGGAAATTCACTTCTTCTGTGTGAAGAAATCAATGAACGTATCATCAAAAACTAAGAATTGATAGTTAATTTGGGGCTGCATTCTAGAATAGCTTAGTAATTTGCTCCCGAAACCTAGACGAGATCAACTCCATAGAATACGGTCCTTGTTCGAATGAATTATCTGTAGATCTCTAAGAAGGCTTCCACCTGTTTTATTCCTGACTTCGCTATAAAGTATAAACATCAACTAGTACTATCGATATTATCTGTAACAAGGCGGCCTGCTTGAGTATATGAGCTATCTGTTTCCTGGAAATGTTTACAAGTCATCTGATTTTTTGTTTGTTTTAACACATTATTATGCCTATTAGTCGCATAACCTGTTCATTTGCGTTTGTGAAAAGGTTACGACTGTGCAAGTTACAAAAGAGTCTAGTCAGAGACATCGTGGTTGTTATCAATGTGCATCGAAAAGAATATACATTAATCAGATGTCGATTCCTGAAATGCTAACATCTAACTGGCTACCACTCAATATTTATCGCAAGGGTTGATCAAGAAATAAGAAAAAGAAACTTGTTGAAATGCTTTGTGTGAGAATTCTATATTGTACCAAAAATATAATATTGAATAAAGCCAATAATAATAATCTCTAGTGACTACAGATTCTCATTAAAATATTAATAATTCTCTTAAATTTAATCATTATTGAATATATAGTTAATTGTTTAATTGGGTTGATAGTAAAGCATAATTAAGTTTAGAGTAACTTTTCACTGAGATATGATTTTCAGAAAATTTATATTTCCTGTGTAAAATTTGTTCTATACTACTAATACTACTACTAATACTGATACTACTAATAATAATACTAATATTAATATTAATAATAAAATCTGTCATTTTAAGTTAAACTTATACAATTTAATTTTTCTATTTATAATTCAACGTAGGCAGACTGTTTAATTGTTTACTTATATTCCCATATCTAACAAATACATAGAATAAACCGATAAAATTTCCCATCGACAATAATATTCTGTGATTTTGGACAAATTTTCAATGTACAAATAAATAGATAATTTTATTTTCTATTAAATTCATTGTACGTAAATACTAAATTTTAATTATCAGAAGGGTTTTGTGGAGATTTTAGTAATTTCAATAGTTGAAATCATGAGTCAATTGAAGCTAGACCACCATGGAAAACCTGGGAGCACTGGACAACCCTATTGCCCTAGTATAGGAATCCTCAGAAGTGCGCGTCCACGATCTCGCCCCCCGCGAGACTTGAACCCAGGACTTATCAGTCTCGAGCGCGAGCGCTTAACCATACTAGAACAAAACGGCCGTCCAGTGCTTCCAGATTTTCCATGGTGGTCTAGCTACAATTGACCTATCATTTCAACTTTTCAACTTTTAATTGTTTATTTCTATGTATGAGTGAATTGATTTACATTGTTTATATTGTGTTTTATTTGATGCTTAGACTAATTCATGTTAAAACAAAGAAGGAAAGTGAGTAAGAACAAGTTAGTAAAAGATATTTTCTACAAAAATTAATTTATGAACAATTAATGTATAATAAGAGCATACTGATGAGTGGTCTATGCTCCTTCACAAGGGATAACAGGTGTAATCTAATAAGTAAGAATAGATTATAAGGTTTTAAAATAATAGAATGAATTCATTTTATTTTATCTCATAATAATCAACAATATATGCAAGCTAATAAATTTATTTAACTGAGCATCTTTTTTAAAAAAAATCTGCTCAATTCTAATCTGAGATTCCTTAGAATTTCACACTCGACAATTCATCAAATGACTTTCAGGATTCATGACAACCGTAGTATTTTTAAACTATTGCGCTAACATTTGACTGTACTAAATTGTTTGCTTGGACAGTTACTCTTAGTCTATCAATTTTATACCGATTTCATTATTATCCAAGTGCTCATTTGATTATTTTTTCTCTTAAACTCAGTTCACATATGCAGTTATTAACATAATAACGCATCATTTAGTTGCTTCGTAAATTCAATTCCAGTTCTAAACTTAATTATTACTTAAGAATTTTTATGAGATGATAGTGACTTATTTCTGTCTCATTTCATTTTTTTCTCCCAGTCATATAATCACATCAGTTTAATAACATAAAATTATTGACACTATAAAGAATGCAATTAATTAGATCAATTCATGGGGGTCTAATTTCAAAATTTAGTTTTTCATATCAATTATAATGTTTTTTACAGGAGTGAATTTGGATTTTTGATTGAGATTATGAGTCAACCGATGTTAGACCACCATTGAAAACCCGGAAGCACTGGGCGGCTGTTTCGTTCTAGTATTAGACTCCTTAGTAGTGCGCATCCAAAATTACGCACGTGGGATTTGGACCCAAGACCTCTGGTCTTGCGCGTGAACGCTTCAGGTCCAGACCACTGAACCAACATCCAACGGTGTTAATATTTAACTTCAACGGATTACAGAAATTGCTCGGACATTTTCCATTGTCTATGGTAGATATTTGTCTCTATCTGACACAGACGAAACAGCCGTTCAGTGCCTCCGAGTATCCATTCATCGATTCATGATGTCAATCAGAAACTTAACAATCTCCACAACCCCCTTAATGTTAATTTGTATATATTTATTATATTAAAAATACGATAAATATATATTTAATATCAGATGGGTTTTGTGGATATTATAGTAATTTCAATGGTCTAGCTTCAACTGACTCGTGATCTTAACCATTGAAATACGTATTTAACAAAATTTTCGTCGCAAAACCATCATTGTCTTTAATGCAGGATTTAACTCAGGTCTTATAACTTGTTTTGCTGACTAATTTTCAATCTTTAATGTGATTGGTTAATTTCAGTAAACTAATATAATAGGCGAATCAAAATAGAGGTCAATGAAATAGATTCCACCAATCCAGCTATTTTAAGAATCTGAAGATAGGGAAAATACACACGACATACAAATAACGTGCTCTTAATTTATTTTAGGATTTTCTGTTTATATGACAGTTGTATTGTCTCAATTATGTTAGGATTCCTTAAATATAATTTGAAAGAACACGGTTAAAAGTTTTCATGAGAAACATTGTTAATATTATCTGAATAATTGATTCCATGAACTTTCTCGGTAACAAAAATTGAGTTATTTGAATGTGGGACTTATCTACATTGCCTTCGACATTTGGTTAATAAATGTATATTTACTGAATATTTCAAATCTAATGACTATTTCAAAGATTCATTTATTGTTCACAAACAAAAATCAAATATCCTGAAACATTCTGATGATACATTGATGGCTTCAATCGATATACCATTTCTTCATGGATCTAAAGATCGTAATGTATATGCTAATCCGGATGTTTATACTAGTGCTGGAGTTGTTGCCACCACGTATTCACGATTTAAAACGAGCTTTTGGATTGATAGGATTTTACTCATTTTAACTGTATGTATCCCTGTCATTCAAGCATTAGTTCTCTTATTATTGCATGCTCTTCTGGGCGTTACTCGTTGTCTTCCAGATACAAAAGAAAATAAACTTGATTATTACACAATTACAAATACATTTATTGATCGTGCATGTGGTCTACAACTGACTACGGAAGTACTGCAAGGAACAGTTAAACGATTACCACATTCTTTTAAATCTTCAAGTCAAATTAATTCTGAATCAGAAGTAACCAATAAAGAAATTAGTACTATTCGTCTACAGCATGAATGTTATCCATTTGTTTTAATTATATATGCAATAGCAATGTGGATACCTCACTACTTATATCATCGCTCTACAGATCGAACTGCTAGACGTGATTTATGCTTGGTACGTGCCGAATTACATAGTTTCAGAAGAGCTGTTACACAAGAACTTGCTTATTTACAAACACTTGCAACTGCATCAACTGATGTTGGTGCACCAACTGGAACTTTTCTATCACCTACATCAACTATTCCAACAGGTCCTATAATACGTCAAAATGGTTTATATTATCCTCATACTGGAATAGGATATGGTGTACAAAATGATGGAACTAGTGGACGTACAACTGCTGCAACATTTGGTGGTGGATCAGCTCTATCACAAACAACTGCACCAACTGTGATTCATGCACAACAACAATCTGCAACAATTGGTACAATTAGATGTGGTGGTATTGTTGATAGTCCAACACTTTCACCAGCTATACCAATAAGTTTTGGTGATGCTGATTTATCAGCTCCAGGTTTATTAGACTTACCATGTTTTCATGCATGTCATGCAGATTGGTCATTAAATACTTATTTAGCTGCATGGCAAAATACCGATTTCTATTGGTCAAGATATATAACTAAACATATAGTTTTATTAGTATTTCATGGATGTACTATTTTATTCACTTTTATCATTATTGGTATTTATAAAGGTACACCATTTGCACCATTATTTATATGCCAAATTAATGATTATCAATTATCGAATAAATTATTTATTTGTATGTTACAAACAACCTTTATTGTAAATATGTCTATATTAAGTATAGGCTTTTTAAATTTAACTGGATTAATATTACAAATGATTTATTTCTATGAAAATTTTATACATATATTTTGGTTATTTAATAATAATGGATCTTATATGGGTATAACAACACAACCAAATATTTTTTTAACTGGTGTCGATGAAAGTCGACGATGTTTCTTTGCTGATTATATACGTTTATTAGCTTATACAGCATTTAAAGATACACATTGTGAAATACGTACATTAACTGTTAATTATTCACCATATTTATATTATTCAGATTTTCATTTTCTTTCATTATTATGTAATGAAAATATTCATTTATTTTCAGATTCTATACATATACATTATTGGACTGAACGTTATGCACGTTTATGTTGTAAACATTTTCATCGACCATATTGGGCTATAAGACGTGGTAGTTTAGGACATTTAGTACGTTGTGAAGATTTATCAATGAAATTCAATTTTAGTAAAATTAAAATTCGTGTTGAAGTTAATGATTTTGGTTTTTGAAAATGAATCTTCTCTTTTTTTTCTTTTTTAAAGAAAAAAAAATACACTAGACTCATATTGTTTCTTGATATTTACTTTTCTTTTTTAAAGGAAATATAATAAATTATCATCGCACAAACATATAACATACAGGGAGTCTTATCAAAGTTAAAAACAAAACAAAACAACAACTCTATTTTATTTCATTTCTTTAAGATTTCCAAATGTGGTTTAATGAAATTATAACAATATTACTTATTATATACATATTAGTAATATATTGTATTCGCTTTGTAATAATAAAAAGTACAGTATTAATTTTATTACATTTAATCATGATACATATTCGCTTGATGTATATTGATTGTTGCTAGTTCTTTTCGAACATTAAACACTTCGTTTAATGTTTAATATAGAACTCAGGAAATGTCAATTTTCTATACAATCATGTATGCTTATAATACATAGATGTATAAATATACATTTATCAGTTGTATTTATTTGCTTAATTTTTCGCTTATTCTATACAACTTTTTCTTTTTTGTTGTTGTTGTTTTATTCGATATTGTTGGGGGGTCTTTGCTTGTTTGTTTGCGTATTTTCATATTCAAACAGCATGAAGAACGGAATTAGGAATTTTCTCTTAATCTTGTTGTTTGATTACAGTCAATTAATAATAAAAGTAACAATCATAATAAAAATTGATTTACTAACTGGTTTTCTTAAATTCTTTGATGAATTGAATCTTTATTCTGAAAGAAACATATGACACTGTATTATGTATCAATTGTGCATTAGGATCTATCTTATTTGGTCATTGTTCAACCGATCCTTTTTCAGTATACAAAAAAATGATAAGGAATGGATACATTCAGTTTTCATCAAGACAAATTGAATTCTATTATAAAAGTTAAACGTTATCTTCATTGATATTTATAGTTTTAGTCAGCCAAATGATTAATTAGCCTCAGTTTATGATGAAACATCTTTTTTCAAACAATATTGATTTTATAAAAATTACCTTTGATCTAACCAAATAATGATAAAACTGATCAATGTTTTGACCAATCTCTAGCTATGCAAGAGTTAATGCAACGCAATATATTCCTCAATCCAACTTACACTAACTCGACAGGCTGGATCAATCAGGTATATCAGTTCAAGGTCAAATGATGGAGGAAAGATGCAGGTGGGTGCAGATTATAGGTCATGTTCAGACTTAGTTATCTGACGTACCCTATTAGTCGCAAATCTACTTCAATTTTCTGAAGGATATATATATAATCTTGCTACTCCTTGATAATTTTTTACCTAGGCAGCAGGTTTGGCTCGCATATCGGAAGCGTGTATATCAGTATCAGACTCGGACAATCGCTTAACTCAATACAACCTCCCCAATAACTCTTGATCCATACCTCAACTATTGAGAAAACGTAATACAACCAAATACTTATTCCCGTTCAAAACAACAATGACAAATAGGAACAAGAGCGCGTATTTATAGGATGTCTTAGTATATCCATGAAAAGTATCCATTCTGAGTGTCCGTTTCATGCCGCTTGATTCAACAGAACGTGCAAGGCTTTAGGATCTAAAATAATCATTGTTCAAAAAATCTCCTTATCGATTTGGATAACATTTTTGAGAACTACTGAATTTTCCAACATCCAACGAAATATTCCACCGAAGTTTTAGTTTATTATGCTCTAAACAAATATTCACAAAGTTAGTAATAAGAATAGATGCTTGTCGAAAAGCATCAATGTTTATGAGTACAACCATTCCGACAATTAATAAGGCTGCTTTTTAGATTCCATGCCCTTACTAAAGGCAACCCAGTTATGGCTCTCTTATTTCAGATAGTTACTTCTACGAAAGTGTTCAGTTTGATGAAATAAATATTCAGTAGTTCCTAGTTTTTGATGATTATTCAGGTCATGCTGAATTGCGATTAAATGTTTAATAACAAGTAGAAAACAATAATTAATCGTTTTATAGGGAACAGTGAATAACTTACACATAGTTAAGAAAACAACATTTATTTTTAGCATATTTGGTACGGGGTTATCAGTGAAATACGCAACGAACGCTTAATGTCACTTTGGGCCCGCCATCCCGTTGCATCTATGTTTACTTTCGATCAGCGCGCCACTATAAAAAATAACTAATTGAGGTTATGGTATAAAACGAATTCATACTATTCTACCCAAATCTTTCCATCTTTTCTCTTTAAGATGATAAAGCAAACTATGTGTATATAACTAAGATTATATAGTTGAGTAGTTTGTTAATATTTGTATTGGCTTAAAGATAGTTTCCATCACAAACCACCATGGACTGAAACACCAATGAAATTCAGAAGAGCACAATATAACTTATTCATCCTACTCTAAAATTTTTCTGCAGTTAGGAAATGGGATATCACATGACAGTGGGTACAGGACTGTCAAGTCTTGTGGTGAATATAATGTTGGAAAACGTAAACGACGGAATAATCGTTTGATGATTGAGTACTTTACAGCTCATTAATTTAATCTCATTTAGGATCGTTAATGTACACTGTTAAGAAATTCTAAAATCCGAAACAGACATGAAGTTCAACCTTTTTTTTTCTTTTCAATATATTTATTACTAAGATTAGTTAACAGTGAAAACTTTTCAAATTAATGATATTCGATAATGTGAAAATCTAATCCCATTTTATGAAAAATTTTCTATTTTATTAGCTTGATAGTTTAAGTAGTATTCACTGATACGAAAATAATTCGTCCTTCTTAGGGTGAACTTATTAAAATCATTTCCTTTCCAACCGATTCATAGTCAATCATCTATAAATAGTATTCAGAAATTAAGTGACCCGAGTTAACTGTTATGACAATTAAAAATACTATATGAATATAGTGTGCTAAAAAAGATTTGTATTGTATATCATTAAAAATCTTCCCATTTCATCAATCAACTAATATATTTTTAACTAGTGATAAAAAAACCCAGATAAACAAGCCCAAATTTCAATGTATCTGAAAATAAGTACATCATCAAAGGGAAACTGTCTTCGTAAACATTGAGATATTGAAAAGCCGATTTTCCAAATCATTGGAAATAACATTTCTTCTACTCTAAGCTTCGTATTGTCTCTTCCATATGACCTTTGATTAATGAATAGAACAGAGATAAAATTCCGTCTTGAATTTTATTAACGTGCACCTATAAGTTTACTTGATCTTTTGGAACGGATTACATTTATCGAACAAAGAGTTTTTGCTAAATGCATTTGAGAATATTACCTTATTTGTGTTTTAAAGGGAAAGCTTACATCAATCAATAGATGAGTGTGGAAACTTGTCCATTTTGATCATACTTCTCCCACCAAAAAACATCTTTTAGAATCATTTAGACGAACAAACCATTAGGCTCTGTGGAGGCACAAATAGAGAACTTGTGTTTTCTGTTGGGATATTCCATCCAATACAAATCGATCTTTTTGCATACGAATTTGACTACTCATAAGTAAGCGAAGTTTTTACACAACATTGTTTTTACATGGTATTTGCCAACTGCATAAACAATCGCCTATAAAGAAAGACCATTTAATATGAGTATTGATGATGTTGATTCCATTTGTTAATCAGTTACATAAATATTAATGAAATAGCAGCAACTATAGAGCTTATTTAATAGTGATGTTGACAATTCACTCGCTCAATGACAAGAGGACTCGATATTTATTCATATTAACTTGTTTATATTTTCCTTCTGTTTTCAAAACAAATCTCAAGCTTAATTAATTATTTAATTATAGAAAACTTTTAAGTAATTCGTGGTCTGTTTCTTATTATGGCCGATCATTCAATTGACTTATGAATTCAACTATAAAATTTCTATTTATACTTGCAAATATTTCAGTAGTATATAAACATTTCATTCATCAATCTGTTGCGATTAACAGGTAGATAAGTTACATGACTGATTAGTATGGAAATCAATTTCATTCCTAAAATCTGATATACTTAAATTATAAATCATGAAAATTAGATGATAATTACTAATCTTATCTTAAGTACTGATCAGAATTTGAGTATTTAAGAACTAAATATAACATCCAAATTCATGCTATGTGATATTAGGACTGATCTCATATACTTAAATTTAGTCGATTAATATGTATCGTGAACAGATTAGATGTGACTTCCATGGCTGTAATATTAAATACAGACTTGATCTATTGTAGCGGTATACATTTCAATATCATTAGTATCATCGAGGTAAGTGCCAAGAAATATTAAACTTATGTTAAATAGGTGCTGATGTGAACAGGGAAACAAGAAACCCTGACAAACTACGAAAGCTATTTTTCGGGACGTCATTTCATTTTGTTCAAAGCTTGTAAAACACTGATATTTATTTTTGTCCCTATTTTATTCTACAGAACATGAGCTTTCGTTCGATGTATCATTCATTGCCATAACCCTTTTTGTTCCGAATCTATTGTAATTTAAACATAATATTTTGCACCTTATTTTCTATCCTAATTCCCAGTTTTGAACATAGTTGTATTTTCCCAAATTATCGTACGTTGTGGCCAGGATATTCACTTATTTATTCATGTACGTTTTTGCGTTAATCTGAATTCAGAGAATACAGAGATTTCGCGGGAAACCAGGATATCTCAATACAGCCAATAGTGTCCCAACTGTCTTGTCTTCTCTCATTTGCGTGCTTGCCAGCCAATCAGGTGCTAGAATAGTTTTCTCTCTACCACACCCGGACTCACGCGTACTAGCCTCAAGGTTAAACCGGCCAACCTATTGCGTCAAGGTCTTAATCTAGAGTAGACAGATCAAGGTCATAACAGGGCTAATTTGTTATATATCTGACTTATAGATTCTCGAATTATAAGATCCATTATAATCAATGAGAAGAATTCTTTAAATAATTGGATCATTATGAAAATAATGATCCGATGCACAACTATAGCTTTGGATTGATTTCTTAAATGATAATAGTAATATTTCATAATT